CCCTCCCACTATTTCACCTACTATAGATATATATTGTTGTTGTCTACAGTTTTAGTTTTGGTTGATTTCAGGTTTCTGCATCTAGGCATTCTTCTCCCAATTAGGGTTGTCTCTGAAAACAAGTGGCGCTCTGGCTGTATTCTACTTCGAAGTGGTGACTATCTCGACCAACCCTGTGCCTAATCCTCTTCACTTGCTTGTTTCCATCCCTGCGCCTCCATCCTTGATGCTGTGACCGTCGGACAATCCCTCTAATTGCTGCCTCTGCCGACGGCTTTGCCCAACCCCAATGCCATTGCAGCCACCCTATCATAATCCCCTCCTACCGCCACCAACCCCCTCCTTCCCTGCGGATCCAACCACTGGAGCTGACCACCTTGCACACAAACCTATTGCCACCCCACCTTCCTACAATTCCACCAGCCATCACCTTCCCTTCCAGCCACCCTTCCTATTGCTGCAAACCATCAGGCCACCTCCCTCTCGCTGTCTAGCAAAATTTCCCACTATGTCCTCGCCTTAGGGGGCTTGTTTGTGCTTGTGTTCATTATTTCCTATTATAAGAACATTTGTTTGATTTCTTTTGAAGGCTTCAACAATAATATTTTGAATGTGTTTCTCGGGTTAACATCTGTATCGTTTGATATTAGAGCCAGTCTAACCCTTGTCTTATCCTAGAGTTTCCTAACATCTATCTTACCCCTCAACAAAAAATTTTCCTTCCTATACTCAACCACCCCTTCAAAGACCAAAGCTTACTAGTGCCACCACAGAGAACATGCCAAAACCTACCCGAGATGAGATATAACGAGAGATATGCCAGCTTCAACAAAGGCTTGAGAAGATGAATGATGAAACAAGGGGGAGATTACCCTTGATCGAGATCTGAAGTGTCAAAGGGGAGGCAAGGATGAGGTTCTGAATCCGTTCCACAAGGAAGAGAACAATGATGAGGAATACCGACCCCGCCGCTTCAGGATTAGGTGTCAGAGGAGGCCTAGAGAGGAGCCCACATATGGAGAACACAAGGATTTCAATATTAAAGTGGATTTACAAGAGTTTGATGGAGGTATGAATCCAAATGACTTTATCGATTGACTGCAATCTATTGAACGAATATTCAAATATAAGGTGTAATGGATAAGCGGGTGAAATTAGCAGCCATCAAGTTGAAAGGGATTAGTGTGTTCCTCTTTGTGATGGGATAATCTGTAGAGATGGAGGAAAAAGGAAAACACTGATAACAATAACAAGTTTGAAAAGATGAGAAAAGAGAGACAGAGAAAATACCTTCTACCTCATTACCACCAGGACATGTTTCTGAAC